CAATATTTACTTCACACAGCAAGTTTTTAATTGTCACTTAAAGACAATCCAGCACAAGGGCATAATTTAATTCAATTCAATTTTTAACTAGGGATAAAAAGACTGTTTTAAAATGTTCATCTCAGACTCAAGGATTATTAGCTGCTTCTTAATTTGTCTGACAATAAAGTATCCAAAGCAGAAATCTTAGAGCAAGTGCTTTCCAGGAAACTCTCCTATGTAATGCCCTTATTTTTGTTTAAGTGTTCAGGGAAAATGACAGTGCATTTCATGACTGAACATCCATGAGCAGTTCTCAAACAAGCAAACAGAAAATTTGGCAACAAACAGGACATTTGGAAAGCTGCTGACTGGGGAATACAGATCCCTAGGTACAAACTCAGCAGCTCCAGGCAAACATCAGAAACATGTTGTGTTAGAATCATTCACAAAAGTTATTGTGGAGACTGAAAAATGCATATTATTTTACTTCCATAAAAGCATCTACAAAATCCTGCCTAGTGGACTTGTTGCATAACTGATTCGAGATGTCTGGCCTTCAAATCCATTGCTGAGCCTTGCTTGAGCTATTTTGCAGACAGATATACTACCAAAAGCTGTTGTGAGCCCTTGAGTTCACGGCACCAGAGCCAGCTCTCTGGGAAAAGGGATAGAAAGCGCAATCTTTATCCCTGGTGACTCAGCTGGAGAGAAACTGGTGGAGCATCAGGGCACGAAGTGAGAATTAGAGATGATCTCTCCCGCTGCTGCAGGACATAATGCAAGGACTGCCCATTGCTGGAGATGGCTGGAGAGGAAGAAGGCTGCCAGCATCCCTAAAAAAGCAATTGCTTAAGAAAATAGCTTTCTGCAAGTATCAAGTCTTGAAAGATGGGATAATCTTAGAAAAAATTGGTGGAGAAACCCTCATCTTCCCTTATCTCTGAAATCAGTATGTGACAATCAAGGTTGTTTTTTTTTTTTTAAGCCTGGATTGGAACTAACTTTTGGTCAATTAAATTGAACCCAAAAGCTGCAATGGAGATGATGGATTTGTGATAATGGACTTTTTTTTAGAGTGATGACATTAGTGCTGGTTTAAGAAGATTTTTCTGTGAATGCCACTGGCAATGAAACTTGGCTGTGACTTTTTTTTTCCGTGCATTCTTACTAATGAGATGGGACTTCACATCCCTTTCCAATGAGTTTTCTCGTGACAGCTTCTGTAGGGTTCCAGTCTCTCACCTCTGCCTCCAATGCATGAGCAGGGAGTGAAGAAGCTGTTGACTGCAACACCTCCAGTCTTTGAATGATGCTAAGCTCCAGATTGATGCCTTTCCCAAACTGACCATGCAATGGAATAATCCATCTGCTGTCAGCAGAGACTGGGACATAGCTCAGAATTAATTGGCTGAAGCTCAAACTAGATAAGCTCAAGATAATATTTATAGGTTAGAGGAAACAATTGAAAGGAACATAAAGATGACACCAGCGTGCACAACTGGTGGAGTCCATGTGCCCTTTGTTTTAAACCCCAGCTCTCTCTGCCTGTTGCAGGACAGGACTGGTGAAGAGCAGTTTTCATAAACATTCACTTTGAATGCCACCCACCTCCATCTCTGGCCAAGGTCAGACTCCTCATTTAATCTGCTTTGTACCAAGAGGTTTTGCTCGCATGAATGCTTGGAAAATATCTATACTTTGTGAAAATATTTGCCTGTGCATCCTAGCAAAGAGGGCTGTGCACAAATACCATTCCTGATGGTGATATTGATGTCTGCCTACACTTATATCTGCCTACACAGACATACTACGATCTCTGCTTTTCCCTCATTTGAAAAGAGCTGTTGATTGAGTGCCCACCACTCCAACTCATGAGCACAGAGAGGTGATCTCTGCAGTGTAGAAAGGAGTTACTTTTAGCAGTATACTTGTTTTTTACAGGTAGGTAACATATATAGATGGACTTTGACGATGTTTGTTCAGTATATCCAAATTCCAGCAGACATCTAAGGCATCTTTCCCAGGTGCCCTAAGTTGAAATGAGCCTGTGTTTTGTGGTTTGATTAACCCTTTCTCCTGTCCTCCCAAAGAAATATGCAGCAGTGTTGTTGATAGGACTTTATTGTATTACAACATTTTTGAAAGCACTTTCTTATGGTTTTTCCTACACTAGCACACTTCGAGTTGCTGAGAAGCCCATTATCAGAGATCATCCTTTAGGGATTCTATATCCAGCAAAAATAGCTCTCAGTTTGTGGATTACTGGGTGTTTTGATGTTTAGGCATTGTGAGGCAGCATTTTCTTTATTAATCCACAACTGTCAGATGGAGCCTTTGCTGTTCCAGTGGCCCAAATCAGTGTCAAAGGTCTCTCAAAAGGCAGGATGTAGAAAAGATCAATATAATTCAGAAGCAATATGCTTATACCCCCTCTGGGTTAAAATCACATTTAGAAATACTGAATACTTGCAAATTTTGAGCTGGTTTTATGAATTATTCAAAACAGAAAATAGATTCTGAGTTGCATTTGTACAATTAGAAAACACAGATGAGAGATGGTTTCACATGTCCAATCAAAAATCAACCACTGCAGCTTGAATTCTGAATACTGATACCAAACCCCTAATGAATAATTTGCAGATCAGGAATTTTTAAGTGAATAATTTTAAACAAATAAATTTGAGAAAATCAGGCAACTAGTTCATCTGCTTCTTTTGGAGCAGCTAATTCATCCATTCACTCCCTTCTGCAGCTCAGTTGCAATGATTTGGTTCTCAAAGGACCGAAAAGAAAATGCAAATTGAACTAAAAAGTGTACTGGAAAAATGATAGGATGTTACTGTGCCAATTCAGAGTAGCAGGGTGGGTTAGCAATAGGGTAGGAGAAAAGCATCTGTTAAACCCGCTAAAAATATAGTACCAGGTTCTCATAATTTGCATTGGGAAAACGTTTTCAAGGAAAGAATGAGGCTTGGGGAAAAGCTTTATTCATTGGGAACACTAAAGAGCAAGTGATGGCCTAGAGTCAATCAACAACCAAAACAACTCAAGGGTGGAGCAACTTTTTGGTTAGATTGGGAGCTTGCAAAAAGAATATTTAAGTGTGGGTGGAACCTTTAAACACGCGTTAAGAAAATAAAACACAGGGTCAGTAAGAAGGTTCTGTGATTTATTTTCTGGGGACAAGGGCAGTCCCAGGGGCCTTTCTGCACAGCACTGTTTTATGCCACATGTGCTCAGATGTGTGACAGGGAAAGGTGAAGCCCCTTTCCCCAGCCCACCTGTGACTGCCTCTATAACTGTCATTATACCCACAAAATCCATCATTAAAAGGCAAACGTAGCTAATTTTTGGCGTTACACAAAGACTTTGCGTTTTTTGTGTGGCGCCTGTTCCAAGGGGGTTTTTCACATGGAGGACAGAATTCAGCTTAGCTTTTGGTTTACTCTCTTTGGCATTAATGAGATGTCAAGCTACAACGTGCACATTTCTAACAAGTGTGGAACTCATTTCAAACTCTTAATGATGCAGCAGAGCTCCAAACTGCCCCAGTGAATTCACTGTGTGAACCGCTGCTCCCGTCAGGAAGACCCCTACTTATTCAACATCCAGCCCTCATCCAGCCCTTCTAGTCTTCAGAAGCTCATTGAAACAATAACCCCAATATAAAATTCCTGGGAAGCCCACACAATACTTTAGGTGAGTCCTATTAGTCTCATTTTTACAGATGGAGAAAACAGAAAAGCTAAGCTATGTCACTTGTCCTAAACCACAGTAAGAACAGTTTTCAGGGCTGGGCTATAACTTAGGAACTGGTGGTTTGCAATTTTGTGGTCAGATAATTAAACCAGACCTTCCTCTTCTGCTGAAGCTAATCTGAGAAAAATGAATGCCTTCCCTTTAAGAGGCTTCCAAGCATGTATGCAAAGAAGAATTTATGACCCACAATTTATGTAAAGAATTTCCTTTTCATAAATCAATTTATTAAAGCCCTGGAGAAGCTTCCAAAGGCTCTGATCCAGCAGTGCACTTAGACATGTCCATAACTTCAAACAAGTAAATCGTCCCACTGAAGTGCTCTCCTGGGCCGGGGCCAAAGAAAGTGTTGTTCTTCCCCCGAGTCAAGGTTCAGATGTAAAATGGGGAAAAATAATTTATCTGAAGTTTAATAAGTTACATAATCATGACAAACCTCTGCCAGCCTCCCACACTAATACCACAAGCTAACAAGAAATGGCCTTGGGGAGATAATTGCCTCCTTGTTGATATGCTGTGATGAAATGTTAAGCTTCTTTTGGAGGATGTGATGCTGCTGACTTTTCCCAAATATGGGAGATCCCACATCAGTTTGGAGGAGACAAACCTGGTAGTGGCAACACTCCTGGGGCATGACCTCCCTTTTGTTCAGCAATCACTTTTTAACGATTATCTGTAAATTAGGAGAAGCGTTGCGGCATTTCAAGGATTTGGAGTATTTTGTAATGTTTTGTAATAGTGAAGTCACTTTGCCAAGAGGACTTATTCACACCTTCTGCTGGACTCCTTCACTGGTAAATACTTGGGAGGCAGTACTGAACATACTGTTACGTGCTGCTGGCAGCCTCGCCAGGAAGCCACGCCAAGGACAGCTTCCCTAATCTGCTGAAAGACGTGTGTCGAGGTCATGTGTGGAGCAGTCGGAGGTAACTGGACCCTGTGCTAGCTGAGAGTGTGGAAAGAGATGTTAAACACTAAAAGAAAGAGTGAGTTCCTAGGGAAGAGAAGGGAACGTGACTCAAATTAGCAGGGTGACACCCCTATGTCACGACACAAAGCATTCCCCTCTGCTTTGGCACACCCATTCCTGGCGATGGACAATTACATATCAAGACCTCCTTTGAGCTTTGCCCAGGGTTGATACTCAGAGTTGGAGTGGCAGCTGTCAATTTGCAAACACAAAGCTGCCAAACTTAACAGCGTGTTCTTACCCGTTACAAAATCCAACACAAGAAGCATCGTAGTTCCAGAATGATACTTACATCCACGATAAGGAAGTCCAGCCAGCACCAGGCATTGGTGAAATACTTCTTGAAGCCATAAGCCACCCATTTCAGGAGCATTTCCAAGACAAAGATGTAAGTGAATACTTTGTCAGCATACTCCAGCATGGTTTTTATGTTTTTTCGGTCTTCAAGGTAAATATCTTCAAAGGCCTGGAAGCACAAAGGACTGATCAACAATTTCTCCTACATCATGTTGGAAAGCATGGGTGTTGTGCTGCAAGTCTGTATTTGATAACATATCATATACTGTCTGTGATTTCTGACATATTTTAATGTTACAATCAGAAGGAGGGCTCAGGCACAAACAAGACTGACCCTGACCTAAGAGAAATCTGTTCAGCTTTCCTTTATAGTGGACATAAGCTTAGCTATCTCTCTCCAGCCTCTACTGGCTGTGCTGACTAGACATCATTTGAGTGTAGAAAGAGCTTATGATCCCTGAATTTGGAAGTGTGAGTCTGTGAGCAGAGTCCCACCCCAAGCTGCCCGAGAACATCCTGCCTCAGCTCCTGTTGGCAGTGCCACTGCTATCCAGGCACCTCAGATGTCCCAGGGCATAGGATGTCTATATTTAGGAGACAGAATATGACCATTACATTTAGCCAAATAGATCTTATTGCTAATGATGACAAATTGGGTTATTAACCTGCCTGTTATGGAGTACTGGAGTTCTCCGGCTTCTGTTCAGTCATCACATTTCAGGTAGCTACAGCTATCTGCCTCAAGAAAGGCTCATTATTATTCACTTAACAGAACAATAATGTTTTAAAGGTCAAGGTATCTATCTCTCCACCTCATCTGTCTCTCTAACTAATCTTATGCAGGGCATCATGAAAGGACTTTATCAAATACCTGCAACTTTATAACCCCTTTAAAATATTTAAGACATAAAACAATATGCCTCCTAAAAGAGAGCAAATAAAGCTGTCTCATAATTTAGCCTTCACTTTATAATGTAAGCCAAATAAAATGTAGACTCATAGTGACAGGTTTGCCCATATATGACCTTTTTTGGGACTCCTAAGTCAAGTTATGGTCTGGTTCCCCAGCTCTACTTGTCACTGCTGTTACACAAGCTGCTCCCAAGCCCCTGTAACCCGGATAACCCAAGCTTTGACATATTACTCTTGTCCCATCGTGTGACCCAGAGCACTTGTCAGCAAGAAACAACATTATTTGAGAGGGTCTGTGCTAATCCTCTGAATTATCTGCATTTACATATTTCCAGGTCTGTACCCACTTTCTGATGAACTTCAAAAAGTTAGCAAACACCCAGTGCCTGGAGATACAAGAAGTGTGGTACTTGTCACTCAAGCAGTCACACTGCTCGTTTGCCTGCCAGAGAACAGTAATTAAACTGACAAGAAAGCTTTGGCAGCCTGTGCCAAAGCTTGTCCATTTGTCCCCACACTTTGGGGTGACGTTTTCACTGCAACTCTGTCTCCTATCTTGCCTTCAAAAATGATATTTCAAGGGTGTGAAAGAGCTGCTGGAGAAAGCCACAGAAAACAATGCACAGATTGGAGTTTATCACTTCTCATAGGGGCTCACTCACTTTGTCAGATGACTTGCTGTACTTTGCAATTACTGCAAAAATAACAACAAACTATTTAAAGTGATTTCCTCCTCTCCCTCCTTTGCTCTCTCTATTTTCTACTAACTTATCCAAAAGTACATTGAGTTTTGTCTACTAAGAGCACACTGTGAGTCAGGAAGCAGCTTATTAAGGGATGAAAAATATGCTACCTGAACACTTCTGTACTTCTGGACAAGCTGTGGATATTACCCAAACGACAAAACTCTGGTGCTTTGCATTTTTTCATGGTGACAATGCATGAAATCTTTGCCAAGAAGGGTTATGTCTTCTGCTTTGCTTTGTGTGTTAAAAGAGTTGAGCAGGATACCTGCATTTATCCACAATCACTATTAAAGAAATAGGCTTCCAGTTTGGGTGCTTATGGTTTAAACATTTAAGAAAGGTTTTTGGATCTTTTGCAGATATATTCTCATGGTTTAACTACCACACAAAAATATAAACTGGCTTAAGGGTATATATAGCTCTTCTCCCTTAAGAACTTAGTATGACCTAGGGATGTAGCCAGATGAGCTCAGTTTTTGGAAGAGCTCACCCCCGAATAACAGAGGAAAAAAGTTGTGTTGCCTCCAATATCTCCAGTCCAAATACTGAAGCACAGCACTGATATGTGGGAAAATGCAGGATAATTTGCCCTTATACAGAACTGCACTGGCTAAATTGAAATTCGCAAAAACTAAATGAATGCGTGCAATGAAAATTAAATGAGATTTATATTGCAGCGTTTGCTATCTAAGGCATTTTTAATTACACATGCAAGGAAGTGTATTCGTCTAAAGCATATTATAGCAAGAGACATTCCCCCTTCAAAATGTGTTCAAAAATTAACATTCTGATTCTCAAGCTGGTGCAAAAACTGTCAGACTCCATTGATTTCAGCAAAGCTGTGACAATTTTCAGCAGCCTACTATTTACCCAAGTTTTTCAGCCTCTTTTACTTTCCATAATAAAATAAAATTCCCTGGGTGAAATTTCAGCCCATCCCTGGTGGACCTGGAGTACAGTCCATTACTTTCCTTTTTGCATCAACATTTATGCATTTCCACCTTCTCGTCTCCCTGCAGAGAGTTTCTCTAAACTACATAAACCCAGTACTTCTGTGTCTTCCTCTTTTTTTTAGGCCACTGATAATTTGTGCTGTTCTCCTCTGGAGTTTCTTCAATTAGCCCATGTCTTTCCCAACGCGCAGTGCCCAGAGCTGAAGCCAGTGCTCCAGCTGAGGCCTCCTTGATGCCAACTGGAGTGGAAGAACACGATAATTTATACAGCCCAGTGGGGTGTTCGGCTTCTCTGTGGTTCTGTGATGTAGTTTACTCTGCCCTGTTTGTTGCCTGCTCTCTCTCCAGCTCTTTTTAGTAAATCTGCTACCTTACAGTCCTCCTGCATCCTGCCTTCCTGCCCCTAGTTATTCCTGATGAGTTGAAGCAGGCACCTTTCTAAGGTGATGTTCACCTTGCTATTTAAGGCGGTTTCATCCGTTTGGCTGAAGTTAATCCTGACCTCCAGAAATATACAGATAACCTGCCCAAACACGGCACTGCCTGTAAATTTAGTAAGTGGATGTCTTATTCCATTATGAAGGAGAAGACCAGTGACCACCAGACCAAAGCCTGGAGAACTCTTGATCTGTGTCCTTGCTCTATGTCTGGATAAAACCTGGGAGAAATCCCACCAACTTCAGTGACATTCCTGACATGTAAAAGAGAAACACAAATATATGCTGCCATCTCTGTGAAGAGCCCAGGGCTGATAACGCAGAGAGGATAACCCCAGTATGCAGTGGGATCTCAGGAGGAGAGGATTCCCTGTCAGAGTCCTAGGCAGTGACCAACCAGACTCTGTACATACACGTTTATTTGGATGCAAAGAGGAGTTACCTGTGCAGTGGGTTAAACTAAGGTGTATTCAAAGCATAAATACCATCTAACTCCATGGGTAGCACTGATTCAGTGCCCTCTGTGTCTTCCATGATTTTCATAGGAAAAAGGAAAAAGGAAAAAAAAAAGCCACCCCTGGAGGAAAATACAACTCTCCAGATGGGAACTCTCAGGGAACAGTTATGGGATGCTGAATCAGTAATGCTGAGAAACTTCCTCACACAGAATTCCTTAAAAATTTTCTTTTCAAAACACGTACAAGTCCGAATTTTATGTTATAACAGAAGAAAGTTCCCCACCATATGGTAAGGGCACACAAAATCAGAAAAGTCAAAGACTTGTTTTAGCCCCAAACATACTTTGCTTTGAGAAATGACCAAAAAGGGCTCATAAGATCTTAGAGTCAGGTAAACTAGAGAACACTGAGACCCATACCCACTTTTAACCAGCTAGGAAAAGCTGTCACACTTACCAGGGCTCCACTGCTCAGCAGGATCATGAATATGATGAAAGTTTCAAACCAGTTGTGCTCGACGATTCTGTAGCAGGTTTTTCTCAGCCTCCACCAAATTTTGCCTGGAAATTTTGTGATGTCCACTGAACAGCATGGGAAGAATCGCACACAAACTGTAAAGAGGTAAAACAAAACCAAAGAAATTGTTAAAGAAGTCCATTTAGTTCTTAAAGCTGCAATAAGGAGCTGCTAAAAAAGATTTTTTCTAGCAATAGGTGGTTGCACGAAGTCTTTCCTCTTTTGTTTTTCACAAACCCCTTCTACTCTGCCTTCCATTTCTCCCTCTCACTCCTCTATTAAAAAACACTCAAAATCACATAAAATTTGTCCCAGTGATTTCTCCCAATGATTTTTGTGATACAGAATATATTGGTCACGAGTCACAAGTGCCCTGGGTCATTCACAAAGTGATAGCTGAGCTCAGGCAGCACTCCTGATCAGGACTAATGACTCTAGGAGGGTCCTGCTGATAGCTTCCACATCTTTTTGAATGGAGGAAGGTTATTTTCTTGGTACTACGATACCACTGGAATTACTGATTAAAAATGGCAATCTGATGAAAGAGAGATGATGGGAGGAGGTGCTACAGTGCAGATGAGACGTGGGCAGAAAAAGCAGGAGCAGGTTTTGATCTCTTGGACTCTCTTTATCTTAAAAAAGGCATTAGAACAACCTTGGAAATATACTGAGGCAGTTAAACCCCCTCCAATGTCACAGAAATTCAGATACCCGGTCCACGGCAGGTTCCCCACTGATGCTTCATTGCACTTTCTGACCTTAGTGAAGAATACTGTGTAACAGTTAAATGCTGTGGTCGTAATGGAGCCCACACGAGGATTTCTGACTGGCAAGACCATGGCCAATTTTAGTTTCCTTAGCAACACTCCTTTGTTATAGCAAAAAGATATTGTCATTGGTAATGGATAGATCCATCTCTCCCATTTAAAAAACACTATGTGCATTGCCTTGTGCTTGGTAAGAGCTTAAGATGGTGTGAGAATTGTCCTGGCCAGTCAGTCTTATGTCAGATAATCTGACTCAAATGTCACATTTGCTGATGAGAATGACCCTCAAAAACCACTTCATTTCCAAAAAACCAAGCTTTTTACCCTATATTTAATCCACGTGTTATATAGAAAGAGACTTAATTATGGAGGATTATCAGCCCCATCATGAGAAAAAAAGCCAGGGGCCAACAGCTTCTGTAGCTGAAAGGTGGCCAAGGTCACCCACATTTCTTGCAGCACACAGAGACTGCTCAGAAGTGACAAGGGAGGACGTCTCGCCATGGCGATGTAATGCAACGTTCTTGCAAGTAGAAACAATATTTAGGCAAGGCAGCTTGGGAAGGAAAGAGGGCGAGTGCCACGGTTACACAGGCAGCAGACGCTGCTAATTCAAGGTGGCATAACTGAGGTGCTCGAGATGCAAGGAGATCAAGTGCAGCTCCTGGGATGCCGGGATTCCCAAGCAGCTGGAAGTGGGGCTGTGCTGGCAGTGGGCTCTGCCAGGAGGAAGAGAGCTGCTATGGTCCTCCTGGCAATTTCTGTGAGTTTTTATTATCCCAGATCCCTGCTATGGAGGAGCGGAACTGCAGGAGGTTTCACACATGAACCACTCCCAGAACTCCCCTTTCCCCTACTTTTCTGAGATTTTGGATAGGTGTAGGCTTTAGACTGTGGGAGGTTTTGGTGTGGGACTAATAGGACAGTAAACCACTTATGCAAAGGTAATGGGACCATGATGCAAGTAACTAACTGTCCTCTACATGCCTGAATCACACAGACTCACATCAGTTCCCAGCTTACCACTGTATTCTGGAATTCAGAGAAATTCTGGGCTCAGCAGAAATACACTAAATTAATAAACATATTTGAGAAAGACATAATTCTGGGAGAAGACAGAAATGTAAGAGCCAGCTCTCTGCCTCTTTGTAGGTCAGCTACCACTTCAGCAAAGGCAAGCATTATCCTTCTAAGCACTTCAATCCTAAACACTAAAGAATCAAGGCAAGGGATAAAAAGACATCATATTAGTCACTACTTTTTGCTAAGACCCGTACAGTGCTCACAGATGGTAATACCTATGGTTTGGGTATATTTTAGGAAGTAGGTACATGGAACAGACTTCAGGCATGTAACACTGCCTGGTACCAGCATCTCTGAGCTAACATACTCCTATGGCAGCTCTGCTGAGAGATGCCCATCAGTATAATCCCACCAGCACCACGTGATGGAGGGGGCTGTTAATTGCATCTTTGAGTAGTGCTGCCAGGAAGCTCTTGAACTATTTCTTACTCCACAACCTGTATAGTGATTACCACCTTTGAAGTGTCTGCTTCACACTCTGTGCTTATATTCAGGTAGACCATCCACTTAATTATCAACTCAGCCTTGGATCAGGAAGTCCAAAGACTTGGGCTCAAATCCGTCAGTTATCATGTGAGCAGCCTAATGAGGAAGTTGGATTGCTCATGTTAAGCAGAAATCCCCTTTTTACTGGAAGTAGCCACTGCTTCTAGTAAAATAAACCGCCCTTGAGTCTGGATTGTTCCAAAAATCAATTTCTATTTGGAAAAAAAATCAGCTTTTTTTCCAACTTAAAATATTTTCACAGGAACTTCTCACTCTTTTCTCGTAAGTGACTTGCTAGATGGATATTTGGCTTTTTAGCCTCTTACATGAACACCTAGGCTCAGCTAGTAACAGGCATGACATGTTCTGTCATGCTTTTATGGAGTATAAATGCCCTGTAAATACTGTTGGAAAAGGTTAGGGTCTCCCAGGAAGTGTTTTTCCCCATTGTAAGACAGCTGGATGAATCATTCCCTGGAGGAGTTTGCCTCTGTCATTTCACTTCACAGGGAGCCTACATGATTACCTGAGTCCAGACACAGCTAAAATTAGGGGATCACCTTCATGTTAGATACTAATGAGCAGGGCACTTTGTGTTCCAAAGTCCCTTCATTTGTGATGGAAAATGGTTAAACCAGGTTGTTACTGATTCAGTCAGCTTCCATCTGATAGTCTACAGGTTCAGAGAGGTATTTTTAAAGACAGAAAGCCAGGCAGCAACACTAATTTATTTTTTTATGCTCTTTGATGGCTTCCATGCAATTTCAATCTGAAAAAAAAGAGTCCTAGTTACTGACAGTAATACCTTGAAAAATCCAAAATAGCTTCTCAGATGAGTCAGCCCAAAATACAGTGCTATTAAATCCAATGCTTTTGATTGGGCCCAATTCAGAAATGTTTAGACCAAATTCTGATACAATTACTAATGTCAAGTAGCACTTCCATGAATAATCATGCTGGTTGCAATTCAGATGAAATGCTACTTTTAACTATTCATAAATCAAAGAGAAAAAGGAAATTGAAAGAAAAAAAAAAAGAAAAGTGGTCACAAACAAGTCTTTTAATGGTTTAGTAAAAATCTGTTTTCTTTTCAAATGTTCTGATTTTTCTCACTGACTGTTCTTTCATGCCTGTGCTTTTCTGAACTCTCTTGTAATGTTGGTAGCCTACTGCTCTGGTCACCTTGACCCAAATTTACATGTTCAATTAGAAGCTTCACCTAACCAACAAAAAAAGTTTACCTGAACTTGGTGGGTAGTCTAATAGGTTGGTTTTGGTGTTGTTTTGGTTTGGTTTTGGTTTTTTTTTTGGTATGTTTGTTTTTGGTTTTGGTTTTTTTGGTTTTGTTTTTGGTTTTTTTGTTTGTTTTTGTTTTGTGGGGTTTTTTGTTTGGTTTGGTTTGGGTTTTTTTTGTTTTGTTTTGTTTTGTTTTGTTTTGTTGGGTTTTTTTTGTTGTTGTTTTTTTGGTTTTTTTGGGTTTTTTTGTTTTGTTTTTTTTTAGTTTCTGTGAAATCAAAATATCAAAATCACTCCGATGAGTCTAAGGCATGACCTAAGGCAGCTTCTTGTTTTGGAAGCTGCTTTATCCTCACGAAGAAGACTGTTTATTAACACCTTTTAGCACAGCAAGTGTCAAGGCAGGAATAAACCCTTTGACATTTCCTATGACAGCATTACTCATCTTGCCTTGTCTAACAGATTTGTACTATCCTCCTGGAATAAAAGCTAGTAGGGAACGTGCAGAAGAAGCTGATCACCTTGTGATTTATTCAGGGCTTATTTTACCATTGTAATTCATGCTGGGCTACATCTTCTTTGAGAGAAAACTGACTCATTTTGTGTAGTTGACTACCACTTATCAGAAACACAGAATGGCAGAAAAAGTGCCCCCAAAGGATTGAATGTTTTACTGGTAAAGCCGTGAAGCTGTTCTGAGCTGCATCACTGGCCAACTTTTCCAAGAATAATGTCTATTTTCAATTCACATTTGAATATTACATACCATTTCTCATGAAAAAGAGACCTATTTACCAAGAAACCTTTCCAAATGCATCAGTATAACATGATGTTATTTACTTTTTGTTTGTCTTTCATAACAAGGGAACTGGTCCCTTCAGTCACTAGGGTGTCCTACAGCACAATCACAAACTGAATATTATAATACATCTTAAACCTCTTGTTAAACATCTGCTACAATGATAAACAAGTTACCAAATAAAGAAAAAAAAGGCAGGAAGATTTTAATGTACAATGTACTTTGTGTGTAAATATTCTTTTGGTTCCATATTCACATTTTCTAGTTTGGTGCACTCTAATCATGGAGCTCTTAGACCTGATTGCATTACTTTAGTGCATCAGGAAATGTGGGAATTATACTACAAAACCTTCCTCTTCAATGCATGACAGCCAAACCTTTTAATTTTAAGCTTACGGATAAAGACCTTACAAATCCACTTCTTGTTCACACTAATATATATATTTACATTTTCATAAAATTATTAGTTGTGATTTTGGATGGATTGGGCTGCTGGTTCTCTTCAATAAATGAAGAATACCAATTAATTCTATGATGTTGTCCACTAAGTCAGGCACTTTGTGTTCAAACTGCAGCAATTTTGTTATTGCCTTTATACAGGAGTTCCCAATTACTGAGACATTCATTTTTAGAACAAAACAGTATTTTGCTTAGCTTTGAATGCTGGTTACAGCATTGCTCAGTTTGACACAAAATACAGCTTTCTCAGCATAAACTCAAGCAGGCAGGTATTCAATACATGGTATATAAATATATATATATATGTGTATATATATATCTACACACAAATCTGGGTTTCTAATGACTGGTCTGCCTAGCTGAGTATGCACAAGCAAGGGAGCAAACCCTTTGAAAGACCCCAACTGTCTCCCCATGCTGCAGGGAACATGATCTCTGCAGACCCTTCTTATTTAACCACTTTCTCATCTTCTGGCCCCAGTACTAAGTCATATGGCAAGTGGGTTGGAACTAGATGACCTTTCTAAGGTCCCATCCAACATAAACCATTTTATCATTCTGTGACTGCACAGCTGGGTTTTATTGTGCGCAGCTTTAGGCCTAACCTGAGAGGGATTTGCCATCACTGTCTCCAGCATTTGGGTACCTGAGACACACATGGAGATTTGAGTTTTCACTCAAATCCAAACCCAGCTACAACTGGGTGCTGCCAAAAGGGCATCTGACAGTGCCACAGCCTGACAAGTGTTTTTCACTCTTCCAAGGGCTTAAAAACGGTACATTTCAGATTTCTGCTGCTACTCTCCTCAAAATATATCGTCTTGGTGGTCATCACAAATAGTGGTGTGACACCTTGAAGCAAAGGCAGTGGCAGCCTGGGCTACCACTGATGTCATCTGTGCTTTGAGCCAGGGGGTGGATGAGTTGAAATCTAGAGCTCCTGTCCAAGCTGTATAAATTTAATTCTGAACGTGCAATAGGTCTGTAAGAGTCTTGTGATGCCTGAAAATTCTATACAACAGAATACTAGAACGCCTTTCCTGATGGAAAAACACGCAGTATTCCAGGTACTGATGGTTAGAGGAAAGCAACACTTTAAAACTTGAGTTGGTTCCATGACTTTTTTCCTGGGAAGCCAATTAAGACATTTTGTTGGGCTTGGTTTGGTTTTACACAGTTTTTAAACATAATCTGGTGGCAGTCCCTGTAGCTCCATTTAGATTTGTTCAGTTTAATGGTATATTTTTGGGGCCTTTTTTCGCTTTTTGACTTCTAAACAGCCGCTAATCGCAGTTGGGGAGGGCATGACATGGATCCCACCGCTAATCAGAGTAACTTCAGCGCGTGGCATTTTCCAGCTGCGATAATTGCTCCCACATGGTCACGTGAAATGATGGTTTTGGGTGCCCTTGGTGTCACGAGTTGCGACCAACCGCGTGTTGAGCAAGGTAACTCATTCCCGCATGACCATCGGACGATATTCCCCTGAAACCTGTGCCAGCGGGCTGCGTCCAGGGAATTGCACTTAAGGACTTGGTGAGAACTTTCTCCTATTAGGGTCTGGGAGAGAGGAGCACACTGGGGCCAGGGGGCTCTCTTTGGATGACCTTCTGTGAGACGCAGAAGATAATGTCCAAACAGACAGCAATTTTTGATGCAGAGAACACATACCAATAGAGGCAACAGAACTGGAGTGTTGCAAGGCATCTGGAGGAAAAAGTACCCAAATAGCTGGCATTGGATAGATGTTGATTTCCCATCAACTGGCAACAAGAATGGCCTCTCCATTTCTATCAGGTTTTTTCCCAGCAATACTTGCTAGCTGCCAGAGCTGTGACCCTACCTTGCCTTCACATTTCCTGACCCAAGAATGTTCCCTGTTGACCCTAATCAAAGCTATTTTGAGATGATAACACATTAACAAGTCTCCCCAAGAAAAGCGACCTATGGCTTATCTGGGTCACCCAACTCCCGGAAAACTGTGACCTCAGCAAACTTTCAGCAACTATTTCAAGAACATGCATTATCTTCGTTGCCTTTGTTATCTGAAAAAAGGGGCCTGAATCCGGGACATATTTGTTCAGGACATAACCTGTGCTGGATGTGTTTAGAAATGCTGTAGTTTGAATTTAGATAGCTGGTGAGCTAACAAGGTAAGAAATTAACCCTTCCCTTCTCGCTCTTCCTCTTAATCTAATCTTCTTTCACAAATATTAACTGGTCATTCTCCCAGATATACCAAATATTGTCATATTTCTTTATTACAAGCCAGTAAAGGCAACACTAGATAAACTTGACCAGTGCATGCCCTTCAATATTTCCATTTTAGTACTTTACAATTTTGCCGTCTTAGCTAACTAGACTGTTGTTTATTTGCTTACTTGGTTTTTAACCAGATTGAAGTGACAACTCCATGAGGTTTAATTGCAATAGTGAGTTTGGATAAAAATACTGGAAAGCATTTAATAGAAGTTGATTGTAGGGAAACACTTTACTTCCCTGTAGAAATTAAACCAAATGTTAATGTCATTGTTGTAAGAATCAAGTGGACTTTCAGTTTATGGCACTTTGACTTGAAATTTTATGAGTGAATAGTCATGGTAAGTTTATGCATTTTTGCCAAATCCATGAGGAATGTGACCACATTTAGCCTACACAGTAGACTCTGAAAAATCTGCATGGATACGTGCTGCACAGGACAGGAGAGTAGATATGTTGGGCAGGACATCCCCTGCAACTGCATCCCCAGTGCCCCTGAACACCATGCTGAGGGCTGGGAGCAGGCTCTCCTTCAATTCCCATTTAGAGCCCGAGGCTCAGCTGGCCGTATCCTGGGAGAGGAGGAAAACACCCTGAAAGTGGACTGGTGAGAAAATAGAAGTGATGAGAACAAAAGGCAAAAGGCAAGAGCAGGGATACTCCATGAGAAGAGTGAAGGAGCCTGAAGTGTGGATGTAACCCAAGGCAAGCTTGGGGTTCAGCTCACAGCGCTTTTGTTTCTACTTTGCTGCCAGAATGATGAGTAGACTTCAAAACAAGTTAAATATTTCCAGTGATCCATCCAGAAGAGCACAGATTGTTACCCTGCATACCATTGACAGCAGTGAAGAACCGACAAACTGGGTTGGTACCGTTGTGGTCCTGCGCGACGGAATTTCAGGCAGGTCTGGTTATTTTAAGACAGAGCAAATTACAGAGTGCTGCTGCTCTGGGAATGTTTTGTGTGATGCCCACCTTATTTTTTTAAAAAGGGAGGAGACCACGGCCAACCATAGTTTTAGAATTTGTAAACTGGCATCTGACCAGCATCGATATTACAGCACAGGCTTGTTTAAGCATCTGTAACATAATCACTTCACAGCACACGACATAGATTTGCTGCTCACTAACCTCATTAAGAAATATATTGTGAAAGAATGAAAACACCAGACCTAATTTCCAAATGTTATTGTTTGGGCCCAAATAGTTACACCAGGCTTTCTTCCGTCAACTGCATTAGTTTTTGGCTACTGCTTTTAAGCAGAGCTGCCAAAAAAATGTCTGGATCCTAAGGACATTTGTAAGCCCTGCAGGGCTCCCTTACCTCATTCAATCATCTTTCTCACAGATATAGAGATGCACATTTTTGCTGACTTTAGGGGCATTCATATGCCCAGCAAATCATCTCTGTCTGATCCCATCTGAGCTGCTCTGTTTCTATTTGTAATAATCCTTGAATTTTCAAGAGAATGTACTAACATTCAGCTAACCCTATTTTTCCTAACCCAGATTTAAAGCAAAATGAGGAATTTGGCTGAGATAATATCTGGAATAGAACTCACTTGGAGAAGAAATAACTTTGTATGTCATTTACTTTATATAATATTTACTCTATATATTTACTTTAACATAGGTCTTCTGATGTAGCTAGATTTTAAACCTTTGGTTTGGAGCAGGCTGGTATTAAAATACCATTAAAATGGTGGTGTATCTCAGTACTAAAAGAGATATGTAAATGTGATCTGTTATCTAAAATAATTAAGTAAAATACCCTTTACATAGCACTCCTATGGTCAGATGAAAGCTACTGGATGTGCTAATCTTGACACCCTTTAAAATAAATGGAAGTGAGCTCCTGGGACTCATCAACTCTCCAGAATGTTTCTGTTAACTGCCTGTACACATTTAAGCAACAGAAACATTCTGATCTGGTCAGTTTTCTACCAAATGGGATCACGTACAAATACTGGAAGTAAAAAATCGTCATTGGTCAAATTAGAAAAATCAACATTTAAGAAAACCCAACAAAACCTTTATGGCATAAATTATGATTAAAAAAAGCCTAACACTGTAGAAGCTGCAGACCATTTTAGAGCATGCTCTTAGCTTATCCTGCCTTGGAAATCCAAAGACTAACGATAACAAGGGATTTTGAGTGTGTGTTTGGAACATTACAATATCTAAGAAATGAAGTGCATCCAGTGAAACACTACTGCAAGCAGGCAGAGAAATGTGGGGAGAAGGTGGAGAGATGTTCAATAAGAGAAAAGAATGCTTCTTGCCTCGCCACTGCAGTGTTGTATGCAGGCTCTTACCTTCGGGGAAGCAATCCTCAGGCTCCATCAGCTCCTCAGCAAACTCGGGGATCTGCTCCAGCAGTTCCGCGGGATTTGTCAAATCCACTGTGCTGCCTTCAGAAAGACTGATTTCATCAAGCTTGTTGTCAGCAAGAGCAAAGATGAGGAAAACAAATTGATCAATCGCCCTGAAGGAAGTATCTGAGTTTTTTTATCCCATTAACCATCACCCCAGCTAAAGCCACCACCACCACAGAGACACAGCCATGCACTTCACACGGTGCCCACCCCGCGGGTGACAGCTCTGCCTACGCTGCAGTGAGCCCAAGGGTCGACCCAACAACAGCAACAACAAAACAAGCTAACATGTAGAACTTGCTTTCTGAAACAAAAGAGAGGGAAACTATAGAAGGGTAGTGCAACAGCCATTGAGTATTAATCATAGAATCCTGGAATGGTTTGGGTTGGAAGCGACCTTCGAGATCATCTCGTTCCAACCCCCCTGCCATGGGCAGGGATGCCTTCTACTAGACCAGGTTGCTCTGGTTAATGGCAGGTGGAAACTTGGAATCATGGACCCACTCATGATTTTACGGCTTTTATGTCCTGAAGGTTCACACCTCCAGATGGGGGTGACAAGAAGTGGCACCTATCTCCTGAAATGCTGAAGGATGAATTGGATGACCTGCATTAGGTTCCTGTCTCTGAAGCCTCGTTCCTGAGGTTCCTCACCCACAGCTGGTGGGTGAAATCTGCACCTTCTCAGTCAGGACCACGCTCTGCTCTCTACTGCCAAAGCTTCTCCTCTGAGATGAGCAAAAGTCTCTCTGTCACCAGGGTCTGGTCGCATGAGGCTACAGGTACAAACATGTGAGAGGGCTTTTCCACCTGCCTCATCCCACACCTGGCTTGTTCCCACAACATGATGTGACCCCTCGCCTTTGAATCACACACTTCTGATCTCAAGTTGCTGTAGGGACACAAGGTTTCTGGAAGCATCTCAAAGGCTCTACTGCTCTACTGCACCATCTTAGGTGCACTGCTTAAATTCAGTGTTTCTCAGATCCTCCTCTGCCAAATGGGGACAAGAATATTGCCACTCCCTGAAGCACTGGTTGTCTCATCTATTTAGAGCAGGAACTCTCAAGCAGATCTGGGTAAAAAAATTCTGGGGAATATATAATTTTCAGAAATTGTTTTGGAGGCTGAACTCACTAATGAAAGAGATATGATACATAATTAAATAAGTCATCCAAATATGAAATAGAAATTTCATTTCAGGTTAAAGCTTTCTTTTAACAGAATCAAGAGACTTTCTTTAGAAGAAAACAGGAAATGTTTCCCCCTTATTTTATTTTGCTAGTCAAAATAAAGCATTTCCATTTTGTGTTAATCCAAAATTAAATTTTACTTGATTATTCAGCTTGGCCACTAAAGTGAAAAATCTGGTATTTGTCCAGTCCTGTTCACAGTTTGTTTCTGACTGTACTGGACCACTGTCTGGTGTAAATGGGCAATACCAAAGCTAATATCTTCTGTGGGTCATAACAATGCCAAATGGCTCTAAGCAGGAGAGGTGTGTTATTTTTGAACTGTTTTACTCTGTTGTCTGAGTAACTACTGAAAATTTTTTGTGCTTTGTCTTGCGATACCATTGCGTTGATTTAAAAAAAATTAGGACAATAATACTTACCCATGCTTTTAAACAGCCTGTGAGATAGTTATAAGAGAGATGTCATGTACAGATAAAGCATTATTTTTGTGAGCATGATGGTGATGGAGTTAGAGAATAGGTACAGCTTTATATATTTATTATTAATGTGAAAATGGACCATCTGTTTTCCAGTATACACAGTCAATGCAAAATTTATAGCTGAATTCAGAGAAATGCTGAACCTGGGGTAAAATGGGCAAGATTGAACATTCCAGCACTGCTTGCAAGCGGGGATGGAAGCTGCTTGTTTGCAATTAGCTGCAGCATCCAGAAGGTCATAGTCTTGGCTAGAGTTTTAATGCTCTACTCAAAAGAACTGCAACAATTGAGAAGAGACCTTTTAAAAAGAGAGTCAGAACAGAAAGAACAGAACAGGTCAAAGACATAGATAAAGCTTCTAAAAATCCATATTCAGAATGCAGCTGTCATATAGAGCCCATTTTCTACAGTCTAACAACGGTGTATGATGGTGGAAAAAATGTCATACCAAGTTTTAGCACAGTCAGAACTTTCTGATACTGTTCGTTAGGGAATGCATTTAGTCATTATCTGTTCTGTTATGAATATGTCAAAACAGAGATCATTGAAACAGTCTTAAATCATATGCAGCTGCAGGATGTAGAAAATAGGAGTTCCAATGAGAACAGAAGCTTTGTTGGATATAATTCTTACAAGTAAACAGAAATCAAAGAAAACTATGAGGACAATGTCAGCTGGATAACATTGTCAGCTACAGAGCTAGATTTAGCAGACACAGGTTAGGAAATTCACAGAACAAAATACAATGCAATTATCATAGATTATTTAGTTATTTATCAGGAGGAGTTCCCAAAAAGTATTAGAATGCATCAGTGTCAAAGGGAGATGGGGAACATGCAAGGTAAACAGACAGGATTTCTTCTGAAAAGCCTTCAAAGAAGAAGAGGTAGTGAAGATGGATTCAGAAAACAGTAGATAAAGGTTTGAGGGTCTGAACTGGGACTAGAAAAAGTAGGAACCATACATATGAGAGAGGAGGGAAAGATTAGGAATGATTGTAGGAAAGAATCAAAGGTTACTCTTTGCCAGAAAGGTTAAAGGGATTAAGAAGGTTTTCATGAACTTGGGAAAGAAAAGAGCTAGGGACATAACAACAACCAACGAGGGGATGCAACTAAACAAAATTCAATTGCCTAAGAAAATAAACTTTTCATAAAATAATCCAAAAAGGGCATCAATAATAAGAAGTGGGAGAGCCTGTTAGAATTAACAAAAAGGTAAGTAGACAAATACCTAGAAAGCCCAAAACATATGCAAAGCAGCAGATCCAGGCAAGGCACTTTGTAGGGCATAAAGGGATCCAATACACCCAGTTAACACATCATTAGCAATCAATAGTGAATGCTCCTGGAAAACTGGAAACGACCCAAGAGAGCAGCAATAAGTAAACACAACACTGAGCTCAGAGAGGAAGAAAAGGGAATAATCATGGGAATCACAGATCACTAAACACTTGCTGTAGCCTGTGATTAAAGTAAATTAAATAAAGACTCGGAGGTGAAAACGAGAGTGCTGACTCAGAGTCAAATGTCAGAGAGACAAAGGCAGTGAGGTGGTTCTCCTGTATGGTGAGGACTGTGCACAGAGGTCAAAAGAAGGCAAAAAGGACGAATACAGAATCTCCTGTTTCTTTCTTGGAATAAGTGAGTGGAGGAATTGTACTGGGCAGAGACAATGGGATCTGGCAGAAACTCCTTTGGGAGATTTTCCTCTGGTATTCAGGGGTACATCTTTCACTAGTCTTCATGCTGCAGAGGGTAGTTTTTAATGTGTTTCTTGGTGGAGTGGCTGTTGTGAGTACCCAGACAGGGCTTCCACACCCACTGCTTGTGCCTGTAATAGCGACAAATTGATCTGAATGCGTTTTTCAAAAAGCCTTTAGCAGTGAGATTCTGAAATCTTATTGAAAGTTGATGTTTGCTCAAGGCTTAGCTCACTTATCTCCCTTCTTCTCTCCCTCACCTCTCAAAATCACAGCCTTAATCTATCAAATTGACATATGATATATAAACCTTAAGAAAACAGTTGGATGTCTATTATAGAAAAGTCTAGTTTTAAAATAAATTGTAATTGGCTTGGATTCACCCATTGCTGTGTGCAGAAAAGCCATTCTAAGGACCCAAATATAGCACAAACTTTACCTTCAGTGGAGGAAATCTCTAGGGATTAGGGTCAGCATTATCTTCACTAAAGATATAGAAGAGGTCCTGACCGATATAATCCTCATGTTAGCTGATAACATTAAATTGGAGAGAGTATTGAAATCGAGGAAGCAGAAAGGAAAAGATAAGTGAAATATGGAGAAAATATAGCAAAATGGGACATGATTCAAAAAAGTACAGATGAAAGAGTTACGGGAAAATTTCAAATGAAATTTTGGAAACCTGGAATAATATTAAAAAAATTAGGCGTGATTTTGCAGTGGGATATAACGATGCAGAAAACCATATGAAAGCATCACATCTAGATAATGAGATGCTATTTCTTCTCTTACAGTTCTGTAGAAATTGTATTTGGAATATGTGCTTACTTCTTGGCAAAAGAACTCCGAAAAGGAACAATTGAGGGAGTTGTAGAGAAAGAGGTAAAAAAGTCAGAAAAGGACACAGAGATACTAATTTGCAAGAAATAATGAAATGAAAGAACAATGCTGTGTGACTTCAGGGGGGTAAGCCCCAGACAATAGGAAGCAAGCAACAGTCTAATAAAGTAAGTCATATTAAAGACATCATAAAAAGAGATTGATGGATAAAATTAGTAAAAGACAGTAATGAAATGGCACTTTGAAAGGAAAAATGGGGAAAAAATGGGCTGGTATTTAAGGCAATATACCCAGCCAAGAGATTTTTTTTTTAGCAAGTGAATTGTTCTCTTTGGTAAATGAAGAAATCCAAGTTGCCTGATACATTTAAAGGTAGATTCCACAAAGTTGTACAAAATATTTTATGGGTCAGCATTTTGGCAGAGAAAGCAACCAGTTTGTACTCTGAGGTCTTATCCTCCTGTAACATCAACGATTTTATTTCTGTGGTGCCTTTCTGATGATTTATACAGGATGAATTTTTAATCATATAATGTATCCTTTACTGACATAAACAGTGTTTTTTCAGAACACATTCAACGTTTCCTGTTACTGACTGAATCACTGAAAGCCCTGCCTCTTGGGCATACCAAATCTGTTACTCCCTTGCAGTTGTTGGCTTTATTTGGCAGGTTGCAACTTCTTGGGACATTCATCAAAAAGACGATGAGCATGTCCTTGTGTGCCGGCACAGAGATTACTTCTGAATAGGAGAACCATAAGTATGTAGTGTCCGCACAAGATCTGGCCTTCAAAAATAGCATCCTTTGGGCTTTGCTCTTTTATGTTGGCATTCGTAACCTCATGTGAACTTCCGTTTGATTTCAAGTCCTCCCTGGATTATTTCCATATTCCTCCACCTCTTTCTAAGCAGCTGCAAATAGAATCAATTATGCTCTGCTATAGAAAGGTGACATTTGTGTCTCAGGACCCTTTGAAAGTTGAGGGAGGAAACGGGGATTATTTCTTTATCACAATGTTGCTGAATATATCAAGGCTAGAATGTTCCTGACTTGTCATGACATTTTGTTATAGCACTAAAAAAGGACTTAGATTTCTGGCCTCCCTGTTAGGATCACAGGGTTTATTTATCTCAAAAAGACATTTAAACATGAAGGATAACCCCTGAGAGAAGAATTCCTGACATGGTCTTTTAATTCGTCCTAGTTATTATGCTTCCTTACCTTATTTAAAAGTTTTGGTGTTTTTTTTTTGTTAAATATACATACATTTTTTTTTTCCTGAGACAGGGATACCAAATATTTGAGTCTCCTTCCTCTAAAGTTCAGGACGTTTTCTTTCTGAAGACGAAGTTCAAGATGCCAAGAAGCACTCTGAGAAAGAGGATTGCTCCTTAAAGAAAAGCTTCAAGGCTAGAGGATTTCTGGTTCCTGTGAGTGGAATTTATCTCACCTAAGTGTGCAACCTAAGTGCTTCCTTTATGGTCAATGGAGGGAAATGGGCACTTTTACAACATCTGACCTAATGCAATTGTTGGGTTCAGTTGGAGATGAGACACACACTGAGTATACAGGGGCCTCAGATGACAAGTTCAGATGCAGATGTCTACATTTAGTTCAGTAAATTCCACCCTGTATGACAAAATGAATCAGCAGGCCTGGAGAAGGTGAGCCCCAGCTGAGGGATGAGTCTGTCTCCTGTAGTCCTGTCAAGATTTCTCCATAGGATTGCTCCTGCTGTGCACAAACTTGCCAGCAGTTTTACAGCAGAACTGGGAGAGGTGTGATGTATGTACTGTGTCATCCTTTCCCTCTCATTAACTCTGTCCCACACAACCACACCTGGTTCTAATCTCAAGGAGCTATGGAGTTCTCCAGACTCTGAGGAGATCCCAAACCTCCACTTCCTGATTTCAAAGAGAGGAATCCATCACTCTCTAATAATAAAGGCAATGTTATGTCAATAAAATGATAAATCTGAAGGGGAAGAAACCCCAGGAAGTCAGCAACGAGGATACAGAGAATTACACAGCCTGAAGTCACTCAGTGTACAGTACAAATACATGTATTCTTGGTATTTATAGGGACAACATAATCCTAAAAATTGAAAAAAAATGTCCATGTGTACGTATTAAGAAACAATGAGTGAGCTGCACTTTGTCCAGATCAACTGACTAATACCAAGGCTTGCTATTTAGTTACACATCAGCTACTCAAATTGTCACACCTTTCTTGGGTCTATGTGTTAACAGGAAAAGAATTGTTAATCTGTGACAGAGAGCAGATGCCCTCCAGTGAACTCAAGGTACAGATCTGCCAATTCAGCAGATGCCATTCTCAGAGCTGATTTTCAGTGGGAAAACACACACATATTTGCTCCTAAAACAAGACAATAACATTATAGATAATTTATTATTTTCCCAAAAGCCTCTTAGAATCCCATCTTAATTTATAATGCACATTTTCCAAGCTTTCCAATTATTTTTATTATAACAAAATCCTCTCTCTTCTTTACTAAAACCTACTACACACTATTGCTTTCCTACCCCTTGACAAACACACATTTTTACAAACCATAAACCCCACATAAACCAGTGACATGCACTATGGAGCTGGTGCAATGCATTGCATGCAGTATCAGGTAGGAAAGTTGTTTCTGTTACCTCTTTTTGCCCTACTGGAGGTGGTGGCTCAGCCTTCAACTGCTTATCCATGTGCAACTCACTTAACTCTTCACAAATCTCAGAGTTCTGACTCCGGACTCCCGGGCTTTGACCTCGCTGCCCCCTCAGCTGCAGTTGTTTTTCCTGCTGGAAATAATCCTAGATGGGTTTATTTTCTTTTTTTCTTTGATAGCATGCTTATTTCTTAGGGAGAACTCTCCAACTAGAAGAGAAAATAGCCTGGACTATACTTGTCAGGGGACGGCACCTTAAGAAAAATGGTAAGAAACAAGGTAATACAAGCTTATGTTGCAACTTTTGAGCTTTAGCAAATGGATATGCCAAGGCTGTAGCAAATGGATATGCAAACAGTCCAACTTCTTTTTTTTTTTTTTCTGAGTTGTTGTTGCTGAGGTGGGAGGAAATTCCCTTGCAATCTCTATTTTGAGTCTGGTTTTGAGACACAAACTTCCTCCAGTGATCTGAGGAACACAGAGAGGTGGTTGTAGTTCGGCCAAATAACCAAGGGTTGTAATCTGAAGTTGCACAATGAGGTGGAGATACTCAGTGTAACAGTTGGAGAAAGGCAAGAGAGCAAAACCCAACGCTGTGCTACAAGTCTGCTTGAAAGAGAGTAAAAAAACCCCCCACACCCAGAGAAGACAGGATACATATTGAAGTGGAGGAAAACGCAAAGTTCACTGGAAGAGATAAAAGGTATCTGAAAGTAGATGTGGAAAAACTTCAGGTAAATACACAAATGCATTGCAGCTCCTATTCAGCAAAACACTTAAGGCTACTTTGCACCCACTGATGCCAACGGGGCTCGACCGCAGGTTGAAAGGAGAGCACATTCTGAAGTACTTCCCTGAAAAGGGATGAACTCTGGAATCAGAGCAATATTTTTTTTTCCATAAACGCATCTGACTAGACCTAGTGCTTGCTAGCATGAGTGGTGCCATTAAATCCAGCCCGTTCTTCCTGGGGTGATGATTATTGCTGCTGAGCTCTCAAGAAGTGCTCCCAGGACTAATGGCAGAGGAGAGTATGTTTCAAGGGTTGGTCCCTACCTCTGGAGGCCCAGGTTTTCTGTTTGTGGGGCTTTATTGATTCACCTAAGATGGGGATTTCACTGAAAACTCCATAGCTCATCACAACACCACCACTGTTCATGCCATTACTAACGCGGCTACTAAAATATTAATAAAACTCCAGCCAGACTCAAAGGGTTGTGCTGAATTGCTTACAGAGGGACTTCCATGCTGAGAAAAAAAATTACAAGCATGACCGGATTTCAACAGTAATTATTTAAACCTATTTATCTTTCACCTGTCCACCTTTTCTTTCCCTTGACTTGACTGACACTCGATTTTATTCATGTATTAAGCGAATTTCCCTTCCCCAGGGAGCCACAGCCTACCTGCCTCAGTTCTAAAGCCACATCACCACAGGAAGTCCCTCAAGAGGTACCCGAAGCAGAAAAAACACTTTATTCCAAATATAACTATCTGAAAGACCAAATGACACAAAGGAAGCAGTTAGTTAAGCAAATTGCTCTCTGTATAAATACTTTTGGGCTGTCAGGTTTGTGCCAGTCTTTTCAAATGTCGTCGCGTGTTTCTAGCAAATTAATTTAAAATCAAATTACTTGTTTCCTGCTTCAGAGGGCATGTGGTCTAAAATGCATTCTAACTGTAATAAATCAAATTATGCATGTCCAAGACTATACCCTCTGCATAAGAATGTACTACATACAATTTCTAGTCACAGGTTAGCACTGCTCTTGACAGGCCAAAGATTTCTCCATAACCTGAGTTACAGGTATGTCCAGGACAAAAAGTAACACTCTTTCAGCCTCTTTAACAGTCTTTATTTTTGGAAATAGTGTAATATTCAGGGGAGAAGCCAAAGTGGAAGGCACAGACTGCACAACTAAGGCATTCAGCCATAAAAAGTCCTTTTTTTTTTAAATGCAATGTGCATACAACTTAGTACCAAGTAATCTTAATGGCATGATATTGGTTATAGCACTGGAACAACAGAAACAATTGTTTCATGTTAAAAGTGCAACGCAATCCGAGGTGACGTCTCAAGTTCATTTATGCAGAAAGGTTGTGTACTCAGATTCATTAGAAACTATGCACTGTAAGAGCACAGACTGTGTAACTCAGTTGATATGACGAATATTCAAGCTCTGAGACAAATTATTGTACTAATCTAGAGTCAAATGCCAAAATTACAGCAAATCTCTATTTATTAATCCCTCTGTGTGGTATCAAGACTTAGCAATCCTTTTGTAGAGACTAAACTCTAGGAAACATGGACCCAGCTTCTTCCTAGGAATCACACTTCTACCAAGCACCCAATGAGTTAATGTTAATTAAAACTGATGAAATTTATCCATGTGCTTGGATAATGATTTGGTTCATCAGCATGTGTTTTCAAACTTGGCCTCTAAATTTATAAGGTGCAAGACAATGCTTAAGAGAAATAGACTCTTCAAAAGAATTTGGTTGGGTAGACTGATCCCAAAAGGAGTGTTTGGGAATCAGCTGAGCTTTTGCAAGCAGCTGATGACAGTCCTGGTAAACCACTCTCATGGGATGCAACAGTCTCATTTACAGCACACAGCACCTGAAAATCAGCAGAGACCTGTCTGGGGAAAGGTGCCTTTGGTTTATGTTGTTTAACTTCGGGCTGTTTGCTTTTGTTCTGATTCCAGATGATTTGTTCTTCTGGCAGCAACGGCAGCAGGTCTATCTCCTGTAAAGCTCCCCACCGTGGGTGGTTTACATAATTTGTTTTTAATTTTTGTATCGAGTGCCATGTTGCCAAGGCAATACACATTATGTTAATATTTATCGATTCAGTTGTTTTCTTCATTTATAAAGTAAAATTACTCAGCAATACAAAAATTTTTTGCATGCAAAGGGAAAGTTGGGACTGACCTCATCTCCTTTAGAACATAAACCAAAAGTTTGCTCACCTCTGCTCTGATCTGGACCCTAAAAAGAGGTGATCTGCCAACACCACACCAGTAATTAGTACACGGAGGAGGATGGACACAGTGTTGTCCCCTTGTGTGCTGCAAGCCAGTTGTAGCACCAGCAAAACAGCAACAGCTCTGAAAACAGAGCATAATCTGGATGCACATCTCAAGTGTGCTGCTGCACAGACCCACATACTTGTTTGCTGACACAAATAAATGCAAAGGCTCCACACTACGTTCTGTCTCTGAAAAGCACAGATCAGCTAATTGTTTCAGGCTCAAATGGGGATTAGTGCAAATGCCGATCCTTTGGAAAGAGGACTTGCTGTTGGCAAAACAAGACAAATACCTGTCATCAGCATGGATTCACTTTATTCCTTCCCCATGGAAATATCATTTTTTCCATTCTGTGCAAACAAATTTAGAAAGAGGATCCCAGGACTTGCATTTCGGATGGTGATTGGTTCAAGTGGGTTCTCCTGATGCTTCTCTCTCTTCCTAGATCATGACCCTAACTTGCAACATTTGTTCCCTGATTCCCTGGCCATGAGTGTTGTGGGAAAGATGACGTGCAAATCCTTTGATAGCAGAAAGCTTCTTGTCCCAAGCAGGTGGGGAGGAAAGAAGTGGGAATTGGCTCTGCAAGCCCCTCTCCCTTGCCACTGCCACTGCAGAGCCAGCAAGAAAAATTATGTGGCAGGAGGAAGTTAATTAAAATTGTTTTATGAAAAGTATAAGGGTTTTCCCTTTCTCTGGTGAGACAGTGCAAATGCAAACTGTCCTTTACTCAGTCCACAATGCAATGGGAAGCTCTGACACCATGTTTGTTCTCTACTCCCCAGCAGACTTATGTGTCCATCTGCCTCCTCCCCACCCTACTTGGCCATTCTGGTGAGACCCTCCTCTACCATGGGATGTTGCCCATCAGAGGAAGCAGCAGCAGCAGCAACAGCCCAGGATACTGACAACAGAAATATCTTTGCTTTAGCCATTCATGAATGAGTAACACTACGAAACTGAGTCTCCTCAAGAAATGCATATTTTAGCCTGCAAAGTTTCCTACAGCCAAATTTCAGACACCTCATGTATAGTAAACCCAGTTCAGCAGTGTGACACACATAGTTACAAGAGGACTGTTTACTCTGTAAAGTAGTTGTTGATGTTTGTGTTCCTCCTTGCAGACAGCTACGGATTTCATAAAATTGCTATGCCTGGTAGCAATTGGCACCCTTTCTCAGCAACAGTTTGTGTCTAGTAACTGGCACCTTTCCACTACAAAGAAGCCAAGAAGTAAATGATGGTGAAAACTGAGCTGTTTATATCCTACCTCTACATAAGTGGAGAAGCAAGCAGATTGCAGTGCTGCTGAAACACAGCGAGCTTGCATTGCTGCCTTGGTGGCACTTTTTTCATGTGTAAAGTAGACAGGAGACTACAGTTTGCAGAGCTGTCAGGATGACAACTCTCAGATAATGCTGAATTCAGTGTTTCTGAAAAGCCTTGAAAAATCTGAGGTAAAACAGATTCTGAGGGGCAGAAATAAAAACCACAAACCAGAGAAACAAATCGTGGGCCCTTATTACCAGAACAGATAATTTATGATCTTGGTTCTCCTTTTCCACAAATAAATGTAAATCCCTGTAGCACCAATAAAATCAGTGGGTTTATCTTTCTGCATGAAGAGAAATCACCAAATAAATCAGGAAAATTCCCTTGCTTCCTTAATATGAGAAGGGGAAGATTAGTATCACTTATTCCGCTAGGAATAAAAGAGGGCTGGAGTGCAGCTGTCAATTTTAAGTGTGCATATTTAAGAATCTCTCTAACCCGCTTTGAAGAATTGCTTCTGTAAAGCAGAGTTGCCACTACTCAGTTTAATGAGAAATCAGAGAAAAACCTGGAGCAATACCACCCCACAGCACTAGGATTATAGCTGAGACACAGAAAGGACTTGTGTTACACTATGTTCCTTTACAAGGGCATTTTATTAGTAGACTACAATGTTTGCAGTACTGATGTAAAGCGTGTCAAGTCCCACCTTAAGGTTGCCACATGCACATAATTTAAGACCTACAAATTCCTCAGAGGGGGGACGAAAACAGAAAAGTCTAAACTTGCTTGTTTGAGACTGGTGATGCCCACTCTCCATCCTTTGCCA